CTTAAATACACAGGACAACTAATGAGTTAACAGAAAACACCTGAGGAAATGGAAGCAACACTAATCACAGAACTGAACACACCTGAGACAAAAAGGAACTTAACAGAAAACCCACATGAACAAAACCCCAAAACAGGACCTAAAGAACCTAACCATAATACAAAAACAGAAGCCAAAAAACCCAACCTATGACAGTATAGATGTAATGACAACATGTTGATTAAGTATAGCTAAAAATGGTTCTATCTGGGAGGAATCAGTGTCTTTGTGTCATATAAAAAAAGACAAAAGTTGAATCCTCTCTTCTGACCATAAAACATCTTGGAAAAAATATCCATAAAAGATGTCAGAGTCCACTCTCTCTTGTAAAGACTTTTTTAAAAGATACAGTGGGGTGCGAAAGTTTGGGCAGCCTTGTTAATTTTCCTGATTTACCTTTATAAATCAATGATTGTTTGGATTAAAAATATCAGTTAAATAAATCATATAGGGGACAAACACAGTGAAATTTGAAGAGTGAAATGAAGTTTATAGGATTTACAGAAAGTGTGCAGTAATTGGTTAAACAAAATTAAGCAGGTGCATAAATTTGGGCACCACAAAATAACTTACCTCAATATTTAGTATCTCCTCCTTTCACAGAAAAAACAGCTTCTAAATTAAATTGAATTCAGTTCAATTCCATTTAATTCAATTCATTTCAGTTTATTTATATAGCACCAAGTCACAACATACGTTGTCTCAGGGCACTGTACGTAAAAAGAATAATCTAAAGAAGAAACCAGCAGATTGTGTTGAATCACTTCATCACAGTCTCCCATCCTGAGCAAACGGTGGAGAGGAAAAACTCCCTGCTAATCAGGAAGAAACCTCCAGCAGAACCAGGCTCAGGAAAGGAGATCATCTGCCTCGACCGGCTGGTTGGAGGACAGGAAAGAGACACAGACAAACACAGAAGAACTGGTCCAGGACTGGTCCTGGTGCACCTTCTTCTGGAAGAGACAAAGAAAAAATATGATAGAAATAATTACAATAAACGTAGAGAAGAGAGACTAAAGACAACAGCAGAGTGAGGAAATGTGCTCAGTTTGTGCTCCAGCAGTCTAATGGTGCGTTCACACCAAACGCGATTTCAGCGTCAGGAGCAGCAGGTTTACATKCAAAGTCTATGGTGGACGCGCTTCAAGCAACGTCGGGAAGTTCTGCGGCGCCTCAAGCGCGATTAGAGCAGCGCGATTTGAACGATTTGGACGATCTGAGCGTCGAACGCTCAGATCGTCCAAATCGTCCAAATCGCTGAAGTTGGGAAATCTGAACTTTTGCAGCTCGACGCGCAGCGTCAACCAATCAGAGAGACTCCACTGTGTGACGTAGCGACATATTTCCCGACGGGACAGTTTACTGAATGAGGTCCACTAACCTGAAACAGACGGAGCTCCTGCTCTTTAGCTAAAATGAGTGCCTGCAGTCGTGTCCTGATCCGCAGCAATGCGTGGCAGCGACTCATCAGACTGAAAAAATAGTCCTGAAAGCAGCTGTGAGCCTCTTCTCTGAATTATCTGGTGAATTAATTATGAATTAATTATCTGATGAACGTGACACGTTCTGGCTGTCTGTAAATAAAGCAAAGCCACTTCCTCGTCCGACATTAAACAGAGCCCGACAGAGGACAGAGGAGGGAGGGGCGGGGCGGCTGTCGCCGTGCAGCGCAGATGTCCTGCGTCTGACCTCAAAGTGCACAAGCTTCAAACTTCAGCGTTGGCTGCGATTTTGAAGCTGAAATCGCGTTCGGTGTGAACGCACCATAAGTCTATAGCAGCAGAAATGAAGAATAATTTAGGAAACCTAAGTCTAACTATAGGATTTATCAAAAAGGAAAGTCTTCAGTCTAATCTTAAAAGTAGACTAGTCCCATAAAAAAGTGTCTGCTGAGTTAACCTCCAGGTTGAGGGGTACCCCTCCCATTGCTTGCAGCTCAACAAGTCTGACCAGAGGAGATGTGAGGAGCACCAGCCCAGGCCTTCAGGAGGATGTCTGCGAAGCTGGCATCCGAGGGTTCATCTGGGTGACCCTCGGCTAACAGAAGGGGTAGATAACAGCCAGTCAGTGTCTTTTCATCCAAACAGTTTGCTGTTCAAAAAGCCTGTTTGCCTAGAAGGGTCAGTCAGGGTCTGTGTATTGAGTCTTAGCCCAGTCAAATAGGTGGGGGGCCTCCCAGAATAGGCTGGATTGATTACAGTAGAAATGACTCATTGTGTTCTGAGTGATAGTAATTATTGATCAGAGGGTCAGAGGTCATATCCTTACAATGTATTTTAGACAGAAACCAGCCTGAGTATAAAATCAGTTTTGTCTGTTTCATTTTGATGTATACTTTTATTTTAAGTTGGATTTCAAACATTGATGGAGCATCTCATTATCTTTATTGAGCTTTGTCTTTAGTGTGACTGCTTGTGTGTGCAGGCTGGAGCTTCAGCATGGGATCAGCCTACCAGTTCCACAGCTGGAGAGTGTTTGTGGTGGTGTGTGCACTGCCATGTGTATCTGCAGTCGTAGCTCTCACCTTTATGCCTGAGAGCCCACGCTTCTACCTGCAGGTAAAACACAGAGAACATTGTTTTACTGGCAACACTGACATTTTGTCCAAAAGGACTGAGTCAGTGGTTCTGCACATTATTTTTTTCCTACTGTTAATGGTTCTTGTTAAAAAGTCAAAACAACAAGCAGGAGCCTCCAAGACACACCATGTGTTCAGTAATTATTGCCCTCCATCAAAAGGGGAAAGGCAGCCAATGTCTGTTTGTGTGTGTTTGTATGTGTTCACTTGTTTATCAGTTCACAAAATATCCCATAAACCACTTGCAGATAATAATGAAGCTGTGGTGGCCAGTATGGAGTCAGAGATACCAAGTCAAATTATGTGGTGGATAGTGCACAAGTAAAAGTTGTGGCGAAAACCATCTGAAAATAAATTAGCTCAGAGATTTCTCTAAAGTCTTGAAATACTTTAATGCAGAGATTCTTAAACTATGGGCCGCGGCCCAATTGTGGGCCGTGAGCACCATCTTGAGGGCCTCAAAAGAGCAACAGTTTTTAACTTTGGGCCGCATTGATTTTGAATAAGGTGCAATACACTTTCTCACCACTAGTAGCAGTAGTGCACCACTCAGATGTTTAACAACATTTTATATGTAGAAGAAGAACCTTAGAAACCTGCAGAGAATGGAAACTTATTTTAAATGAAAAGCAGAAGCAAAAATGAAAGAAACTCATCAAAAAACACCAAAGTTTGTCACTAATATGAAGAGCAGCTTCTGTTTTT